TAGTTTAGTTCAGGTACGTACTACGTAATCGTCACCAAGTTTAATTGTTTGTTGTACATCAAACCTTAAATATACTGTAAAGCACTTTCATTTTACCTAATATAGCTAACCTGTAATTTCGCTAATTCAAGATGTCGCTAATTTAAAATGAAGTATATTCTCACAATGAGATTGTTGGCATTTTAGCTAAATTAAGATTTTGTCAAATAATGTATTGAGTTAAAATGGCATGTGGCTATTTCAATGTGTTTTACAGTAGTCCACGGAAAACTGTTTAAATTCATTTTTGACGTTTCCAGTTTCTTTACGTTTACATCTTTGCAATGACGCCAGCGCCACCTTTATTCATGGACAATGCGTGTTTTGAAGGATCCATAAAATATCACCAATTAGCCAATCAGCGTTCGTAATAAATTATTGTTGTTAGCCATATTTGAATGGCAGGTACAGATTGATGTGTCACCAAGAAATAAACATGCCTGTCAATCGCACGTTATAATACAGTACAATGCTCAAATTTAAATGCAATCATGATGCATTCTGGTATCATGTTTTTGTATTACCCTCAGACAGATTCATTTATAAATGTTCTAACGAAATAATGTTAATATATATATAATAATTGCAGTTGAAGTTCACCTACTTTAGTACTGAATTTGGTCTGGATTACGTTTCTGTGATCGATGGGTCGACTAAGTCTGGCTACCAATTGGGACGCTATTTTGGACAATATCCTTCAGGAATCCTGGCGCCTCTTTCTTCGGGCCCATCGATTATCGTTTACTTTTACTCAGATGACGCTGTCCAGCACTTTGGTTTCTCCGCAACGTTCAGATCTACAAAAGTCGAAGTCGAGGAGCCTGTGGAATGTGACGGTACATTCACATCTGCATGGGACATAGTGAGATCACCGAATTTTCCAGACGTATATCTAAACTCACAGGTGTGTTACTATTATATTCAGGTAGCACACCACTACGTAATACTGGTAGGTATACCCATGCTATCGCTATTGTTTTACCATTCGATGCCCTAACAATATTGATGTAATTGTCAAATGCCGATTCACAGTTATATATTACTCGGCTTGGCATTCTGAATGTCAGCAAGAATTAGTAAACTTCAAGAAACATTCAGGCATACAGTGACTGGCCTGTACAGTAATATTCATAACAATGTAAAAACGTCAATTAATCTGTCCAGTTTCAATTTAAATCGGCTAAACATTTTAATTTTCACATTTAAACATTTGATTTGCATCGCATCGCATCGCATCGCATCGCATCACATCGCATCACGATTTTAGCTATTGGAAATACCATCTAACCAAGTTGTGCCCACTGATCCACACTTTTGTTGTTATTCTAGCTTCAGTTCACTACGATGGATACGGAGGAAACTTATGATGTAATCGAAATACTTGATGGTGATTGCTCATCTGAAAATATTGGAATTTATTCTGGCTACGCACTACTCCCAGTTATTGCATCGTCCGGGCCATCCATGTGCTTGAACTTTCACACTGATTCGTCGACTGTACGCGGTGGATTCGAAGCATTTTACACTATAACGCCTTTAGACAGAATAAACGGTAATTTATATCCTTCTCATACTTTGTCACAATAGTCATGGATTCGATGTGTTTGCGGCAGTAT